TAGAATAATACAGAACGACAGAGATGTGGACTAAGGAGCCTCAGAGATACATAAACAAGAATACAGAGTAATTAAATAGCCATAATAAAAAAATATAAGTTACTTTATAATTTTAACCAGTTAATAATAGAAAATAAAAAATTGAAATAAAAAAAAATGATGAACGACCTAATAATTTATATACATATTTACAGTAGTATCTATTTGTAATTTTATGGGGACTGGATGGATAAGAAATGATTGAATAGGCGGGATTTAATGGTAGGAAGGGTATTGGATTGACGATCTGTCGAAAGCATCGGTTAAAAAAACTCAAATCATATTAAATCAATTATAATATACCTTGTGATAAAATTAAAAAAATGTTTTTTTTGTTTTCTTATGTTCTTCAAAAATCAAAGCATTTAGGAATCCTCAAGATTTTCTCCAAATTTAGCATTAATACAACCGTTAAAAGTCTGAATTACCCCTTTTCCAATCCTTATGTATAACTTTTAGGTTTTATTCCGTTATAAGCTAGAAATAAATAAAAACTTCTCAAAACTTTGTATTTTATATATTTCGTTCCAGTTTGTTCCTTTAGGTTAGGTTTGTGCCATTTCATTTAGTCTAATTTTCGTGTGGTTCGATGAAGTTTTTTTGATGTCATGACAAAGGGAGAAGAGGGTAATTGCCAGAGTTAAAAAATGCCAGAAGGAGGCGAACTCATAATTATTTTATCGTTTATCAAGGATATAACAAACTGTAACTTTGGCGCACAAGCGTTAGCTCGCTCGGCCACTTCGCCATTTCAACCTCGGCTTTTTACTATAAATTTGCATTATTTCCAGACTATTGAATTTAATTTTGTTCTTATTACAGACTCCTCTTTTCTGTATATTTGTTTTTACTACTGTATTAAACTCTGCATAGACAACAGGCAAAAAATCATTCACATCTCATTGTTTCGTTATTTAATTATTGTTCGATCAGTAAAATATTTATTTAAGAATTTAACGGTGAGTAAAATATTTATGTAAAATATTTATTTAGTTCGAAAATTGCATAAATTACTTAAATATTAGGTTGTCCGGAAACTAAAGCAGGGCTGTGGTTATAAAATAAAATAAATAATACGAAACTGTAAACAAATGCAGCCATAGTCAAGATTCTTTTTACGGCTATTAATGCATGAGGAATCTTTTTCTGTATAGTTTTCGAACAGTTGTTCTTGGATCGAAGCTCGTAGAACATTGTCATAAAGGGATGAAATCCTTCCACAATCTCCTTTTTCTTCAAGGATGGAGTCTTCCTCACGAAATTTTTAAACCATTGTTTATCAAAAGAATAAACTCTCAAACGTAAACGGTTTGTAAAATATATGGTTAATATAAATAAAACATGAAACCCAGTATTATTTTCTGGACAAACCTATTTTTAAAGTTAAAAAAAAACTTATTTGACCTCGAAGAATTGTATGATGAAATAGACATAACCTCATACCCAATCATAAATTGCGTGTACTACATATTAAACGATCACCGCGGCATATCTGTTTAATGTTATTAAAATTATTTTATGGCAAGGTTTACTACCCGCTGAAAGGAAGTATTAATATTTAACAAGTGCACGCCGTCCCTGCCCACACAACTATCACCGGCGTCCACAATAAATAACCCTTGTGCTGCAACTCTGTAATTATCTCAAAAACTTAATTCAACAAACGTCAGTTGATTTGTGAGTTTTTTTTTTCCTAATGGTGATTTATACCATGCCTTGGAGAAATATAGATCACCATTTACTGTCGACTATGCCGGAATAGGGTCGCTTTATTATTTTTGTATTTGATTTTTATAGCAATCCACAATATAGAAAAAAAAGAGAATTATGTATGCCAAAGAGGGAAGGGTATATCTATATTTATTTTTATTTTTATATTATATAAGCGCATGTGATGTGGAAATAAAAAGAAAAATTTCAGATGGCAAGAACACCATATCAATGCTCAACTAGGTATTGTGGAACCGGAATATTATCCACAAAACAAAAAAAAAACATCTACAATACTATAGTACTGAGCATTATCACATATGGATCAGAAACTTCGACCATAAAAAGCAACCTCAGGAAGAATCTTCCAGCCACTGAAATGGACTACTGGAGACGAGCGACGGGAATATCCAGAGTGGATAAAGTCTGAAATACGACAATCAGAGAAAATATGGAGGCTAAAAGAACCATTCTGAAAGAGATTGAGACAAAACGCCTGAAGTGGTATGGACATTTGAAAAGAATGCTTGAAGGAAGACTAATCAAAGAAGTCCACTAATGGAAAACTGGAGAAAGAAGAAGACGAGGAAGACCTGGGATATTGAAGTGGAGGAATCCATGATGGGTCATGGTCTACGGGAAGAATGGACCTTAGACAGGATATTAAGGAAAGAAGCTATCCAAGGTTTAGGTTAAGGAAACCCACTATTAGTGGAAACTCCTAATAAAAAAAATAAAAAATATTATATAAGCTATATTTGTTGTTAACATTAAACCTCAGTGCCAAGGTGACAAGACAACATTAAAGCTTCGACTTTCCAGCATACTTTTCCTAGATATAAGTTCCACACATTTAATTTGTATTCTTAATTGTAATGATATTTCTGGCAATTAAAGCAGCTATATTGAATGAGGATAGATAAGTAATTATTCTTATTTGATTTGAGAATCGGAACCGATAATCTTAACTGAAATAGTTTTCTAGATGAATTTTTAGTAGATTTATGCCTGTACTGCAAAGTTTATGGGTTCTTAACTGATCTACTTAAGTTTTGATTTATTTTTAAAATGCCAAAGTGAAGTGAAAAGACTGAGTTGCTGGATTATTTGGTTAAAAATACTGTATTAGAAAGCATGAATGAAGATTTAGATTATTCGATTGGCAAAGAGCTTGATGAATACATAGATGGAATCCTAGCTGTCTTTACATTCCATTCCTGTGGAAATTGTACACAAACAAAGAAAACAAATCAAACAATCAAAATTTTACAATAACCTTTTTCCTTTCGTTAAAAAAGTTAGCAGCACTTTGCAGGATCCTTGGCTGCAATAAAATCGAGAGTACTAACGGACATATTTAAGACACATTTCGTAAATAATTTTCTCGACTTTATACATTTAAGAGGCTTATAATACTTAGCATTAGTTGCATGAATACCCCTATTGTCTAAATATGAACTAAATAATAATAATAGTTCTCTACTGTAATTTTAAGATCTGTAAGGATTAACTGATAGTGAGAATGCACCAATATGTTTCAATTAATAATGAATAATTCAATTAAAAACAAATTTTAAGCATTCAATAAGTAGATAATCTCAATTACCGAGTTTTTTTATAGTTGTGTCTCTAGTTTCTCTATTCAAGGAATTATTTATGTAAATTAGTTTATATTGTTAAAGTTTTAACCACTTTCCTTTATACTAAGAACATAAAATATAGGTAGCCAGTAAATGAGTATGTATTGCGAATCATGTTCTAGTTTCAGAATAGATAATATTTAGAAATTATATAACTTTTTTGAAAAAAATTAAACCAAATATGCGTATTTTTTTTTCCAAATGATCTGTCGAAACATGGCCAAAAGCTAAATCTTTGAGCATGGATGAACGCTCTTCCACTTCGCCTCATTATCTCTGAAAGACCTGGTACCAACGTAACCGAGAACTTTGAAGGGAAGACACGACCTTGGCCACTAGAAAGGGAACTAACTGGGCCGAAGACCCGCCCACAAAAGTGTAAACTAGAAGATGACGAAGGTGGACCATTGGCTGCAGACGCGGTCCAGACGCTGCAGGTATCCCCTGCCAACCGCTGCTATATATACCTCTACAGTAGGGCCAACATAAATTGCCAGGTGTTTATATTCCCGCTTTCTTCCTCTGTCGGCGGCCTATCAATGGGTCGTTCATGAATCATGGAAGAAGCGACTCCACGCTTCTAAAACCTTGTAGTCGATATGAGAGCGGCGTTACGTAGATCTTGGTCCGCACTGAAGATGCAATCTTTTTACAAAATTGATTGCAAGATAAAGAAACCATTGAATTCTATTCGAACAAAACTCCTAAGCAGATATTAACAACAACATCTAACCCAAGAAAATCCAGGAATAAACAAAAAATGTTTAAGGATATAAATGACTATTTTACATCCCTCAGTTCAGTACCGACAAGAAATTCGACTGTTAAGAAAATCTAAATGTCAAGAAGATTCTGAAAAAGAAGTGTTCCATTAGATACTTTATCCGAATAGTAGGGGGAATCAAAAGACGGTTATAGCTACGCGGTATTAAGCAGTGTACTCACTAAATAATTCAAGAAATATCATTAGTGGTGAAATAGGCGTTTGAGCTCACCAGATCACTGATCCAATAAGTAAAGCTTAAGAGATTGACCAAGACATAGATTAAAGGTTTTAGAAGTATACCTTCAACTCTCCAAACTAAATAAACCCTTTTATATTTCGTTAGGATGCAATTGGAATAATTATGTTGTGGTGCTTGATTTTTACTTATAAAAAATCTTGAGCTTTAACATATTTATTGATTGCTTTCGTTACGATCATATTCTCTTATTCGGAATTCCTGATTTCTTAATCCTCCTATTATTATTGGTTAATTGAAGGCGACTCAGATTTAATAAGTTATTTTTAGTTATTTATTCTAGTATACTCACGAAATGATAATCTTTACAGATCAGTAATCAGAAATAGTTTTTTGGCTTTCAGTAAGCGATAATAATAATTATAGAGATGGATGTCACCATCTCGAATGCTTTCCTGATGGATAACTATCATTCATAATACAACTTCATAATTCGCAGTGTTATAGTAATCGTTCACAATTTGCAATTTTCTCAAGCCATTGGTTCAAAAATACAAATAAGTGCATTTATGAACAAAACATGCTATAGGAAATTTTCAATCTCTGTTGTATTTAGTTTTTTATTTAGTCTTTATTATTATATTTTCAGATTCACAAGAAGAAGAGGATAGTGGGCAAAGTGTTTTGCCGTAACATCAAGCACGAGTGCCCTGAACCCAAGTGCGACGAGCCGGTCCTGTCTCCGGGTCGCTGCTGCAAGACTTGCCCCGGCGATGGTATCGGTAAGTACCTATAGTTTTTAGAACAAGAGTTTTTCAAACTTCCTTATCTTTAGAGAAGTTTTCTGAATTCGTAAACTTTGGAATACTGCAGTTCGAGTTTTAGATATATGACTGAATCTTCCCAACTTCGGCAAGTCCAATGCAAAAACCCATGAGAGTCAGATGTCCGTAGGATGGGACCTCAGAAGCCGAGCCGGACACAGTGGTCCAGTCAGACTATATTTACCCACTTCCTTGTCTCATCCTGGGCGGCAGCCAGAGGCGGGTCTCCCCGGGTCATCGAATCCTACGGCTCACCTTTTGTTTGTCTGCCTGCCACCTGTCATCAAGCGCACGTCCCTCGCCGGACAAGACAGAACCCGATGGCGTCCGCTGTCAAGGGTATCTGGATTGTGCCCAAGGTTAACATGACCTGGTGGAGTTGCTAAGGCGGCACTTTTATTTTTAGAATATTTCACATTTAGATTATTTTTGGTTGACTTTCTACATTAATTCTTGGCCCCCGTTCCAGAACTATTAGTAATCTCAATTAGGCTAAGATTCATGATGGGAACTGACATGGACAGGGATGAATTACACACAACATCCGTCTTATTTTTCTCCCTTTTTTATCTTCCCAAGAGATTTGATTTATTTTAGTGTGTCATCATATGCCATGGGTTTGGCATATAAAAATTGCCGCATCCTCGCATTCAGATGCGTATCAATGCCCTTTCTTAGTCTATTCTTGAAGCTGCTTCTCTCGCTTAGGTTATAAAAGTTTTTTTTTTTAATTATATATAATTATAAAATGTATATTTAGAAATACCGTATCATTCAATGTTTCTTTCACATTGCAGTCTAAATTTAAAAGAGGCATGCATAAAATAGGAATATTAATTCTAAAAAAAAAAATTAACATTTTATAAATCCTACAATTATTCCACGAGTCTACTAAAAAAAAATATTATATCCGAATGTCCCTTATGAATACCACTAAATTCTTTTCTGAAGGTAAAATGAATAAATGCTGTTATTCGGCTGGATATTTTCTATAATATACGTTGTTTCAATAATAAATAAAACAATCACGATTATATATTAAATTACTGCATAATGTAATTTTAATTATGATCAGAAATGAATCAGTAGCGCTTCATATATCTTTATATAAATAGCACTTTTAATTAATGAACATTACATTTTTTTTTCACTTCATGCCTTCATCGGCATCTGCCATGATAGTGACAATGCAGGCAGATTTGATAGAAATATAAATGCTAATGGCTAGACAGGCATGAGGAAGGACAGCACCCAGTGGCACTCTTCCTGGTCTTTGTTTGATTCCGTAAATCAGGGAAGGAGATCTGTCATCCAGCTTCTCTTCAGTATTCTCCTAATCGGCATGTCAACCTCATGTCGGTCACATGACATGTCTGTTGTTGTATCCCTGTAATTTAACATGAAATCGTGAATAAAAAGTACGTATGTGTTGATCGGTAGTTGGTTGTCGTAATTCGGTACGTAAAGTTTTATTGTTTAGGTACAAGGGAAGCTGCTGCTATTAGTCCTAAAATTTTGGACTGGAAAGATTGTACGTTTTTGTGAGTCTTTTTCGCTGAACCGTATATCTATGAGACCCATGTCCAAATGGGTTTAAATAGCTACATGTATATATTTAATTTTTGTCTGATTTGCAATTTTGATTTGGAAAAGAGAGAGGATAGTATTTTCAGTCGCATGTTAAAAGGCTTTCGTTTCATTTTGGAGGGTGGGGTCCACATAAGTCTTCTTGAGTGAACAATAGATAAATTCTATTTTTAAAAATTAGTGTCTGCATAGATGTTTTCCTCAATAGTTAATACATTAATAATTGAATAGTAAACAACTATAATTGTAAAACATTTTTTTATGTTTAGTAGTTAAACATTTAGTTTATATTTTGATAATTCTGTACATATATTATAATAATAAAATTTACACAGGAATTTTGGTACTCGGAAATTTTAAATTACAATACATGAGATGAAGCGTTCGTGAGGTAAACAACCTGGGAGGGCAAACAATACCACTTAAGACTATTATTCATTTTTATTGCCCCTTAAGGGCTACAATTAACGTCTTAGTGATGATAAATGGATACTTCATTTTTAGCTAAGCACATTTTTTTAAGTTATTTTACTTAATTCTGGAATAAGTTGCTCTATTAGCTCTGTTACTCCCACATTAAATAGCTACGCTTCTTCCTAATACATTCGAATTATAAGCGACATTAAAGTAAAATATTTATCTATATATATAATAGTACTACCAAGATGGTCTATTCATCACACACAATTGAAGAAGTTTCATACTTTACCACGACTGTTATAGTAACAATATTAATAATTGATTAACTTGTGAAAGGAAAATATCCCTTGTTGAAGGGAAAATATCCCTCCAGTTTAATAGTTAATATATCACACAGAGTAGAATATCCCTGAACTGATAGTAATCCATTATTTTACATGCTAAAGACCTTTTTTTTCCTGCAGATCTTAGGTTTGTAGCTCTCTCACTTACTAAGACTATAGAAGTCTATTCATAGGCGCTGACTTATCAAAATTACTAAGGGAGGGGAGTAGACTTATTGTTTGGAATATATCCTATATGCAATATATTATATTTCATATATAATATATATCTATATGCAATTTATAATATTTGCCTATATCATCATCATTATAAGTGAAGCGACATCTCGTAACCGAGACTGGGTCTCCTCGAAAAGTCTCCGCTAGCTTGTCCGGTCGTGTGCTGCAGCTCTCCAGTTTCGGTATCCAAGAAGTGCCCGCGCATCATCAGAGACCGATTTCATCCATCTCACATTCGGTCGTCCAACTCACCGTTCTCCGTGGAGCTGTTCGTGAGGATCATTTTCAGAATCTCGTTGGCAGCCATGCTTTGCATGGCTTGACTATGTCATCATCGGTATATAGTCTCGTTAGTTAAGCATTGCTCCTTCTTCTCCAGGCATCGTCCTGTCTGACAGAACCGAAAATCCGTCAAAAAATGGTCCTCAAGAAGACAATCACTCGCCTTCGTGAACGCCCAAGCTTCTGAGTCATAAGTGACGATTGGGCGGACCAGGGTCTGATAGAGCTTGATCTTGGTCTCGTTAGTGAGCGTTCTACTTCTAAAATGTTTAGCAAGGCCAAAGTAGCAACGGTTAGCCGCTGGAATCCTCCCGTTTACTATCTGGGTAATGTTATTTCAGGAGTTGATTTTCGAACCCAAATAGGTGAAGCTGCTCACCATATGAAATGCTTAGCATATATGGGTACCCGCCCGCCTCAAAATATCCAACTCCGAGTTCGTTTCTTCTAATCCGCATGTATTTCATCTTGGCCTCATTAACAACAAGATATGTCTATATGTAATATTTTTCCAGTATCGATCCATCAACTTTTGAAACCATCGGAGTTTCGGAACATCCGATTTTTTTCGATTATTTTTAATTTTAGCATTTAGCAGTATAGTAATATTTAATGTTTAATTTTTGGAATTTGGACTTGTGAAAAATCCATCGGTCCTCAGAGTCGCAAAAGAATTTATACTACCTTATTAACTGAGGGAAGTATTGACTGAGGAGTACCTTTAACTGAGGAAAATATTTTTCACAATATTTACAAGTGGAGATATGAAAAAAAAAAAAGAAATAGAGGAATGCTCACTTTGCGAATAGCATTTGTATACAAATATCTGCTTCTTTTTATCATTTTTTAGTTTATTTGATGATATAATTTAGTAATGGTGGTGATCAAAGATAAACTGTAGCAGGCTATTTCATAACTTAATTTAGTTAAATTTGTTCCAACAAACTAAGTCCGACAAAGTAATGGACTGGAAAGGGTGTCCGTGCTTTATATGAGCCTAAAAAGGACATCGGGAATTAGCACAGACAATGATTTAATGAAACTTTGATCTCAATTTAAAACACGCGCCTGCCTGACCACTGAACCTGACTCCATTTATCCAAAGATCAGCAGGATTCTTGTGAGATAGTAACGCCGAAAGAATTTTATCAACTGCATTTTAATTCATATGCATGATTTTTATTTTATTTTTAATAAAATGTTTTGAAAATTAAATGATTCAACAACAAGAGAATTTTAATAATAAAAATTATTTTTTTAATACATTAATACAACCACAGGAGGATCTACGAGGGGGACTTTCGGGCTGAAGCTCCCCCCCTCCCAAAATACTAAAATGCAACCATGTTTTATGGTAAAAAATATCTCTTAAAGTATTATTGTTCGTGTAATTACATTTAATAGGACATCAAGAATCACATTATATCATATACGTAGTTAGTTTATTTTTTTTTCCAAAGTAATTATCATTATTTATATGAAAAAAAAAGTTTTCGGGCTGAAGCCCCCCAAAATCAAACCCTGGATCCGCTAGTGAATACAACATAAACCAAGTTGAAAAATTCTCAAACCACCTCCATAGAAATATTTCTTATTATTTGAATAAAATATTAAAAATGTTCTGCAAAAAATTAATTACTTACATTTTCAGAGATATAACCACTTAACAATACTCAAACCATATTAAAAAAAAAAAATTGATATATTACTTATCTTTTTAGGTTTTTCAAAATTAACCAGTTTTATTTTTGGTATTTATAAAATTCAAAATCTACATTTTATACTTTTATAAATAATTGGATTGGGATAAAATATTTTACTCTACGTGGTGCAATATTGAAGAGAACTTACTCGGAGACGATCAATGCGTTAGCCAATCAAGTTGCATAAATATTAAACGCTATCTCATCGTAAATCCGTACTGGACTTAAACCTAATTCACTTTAATGCAGTCTAGTACAGAGAACTAATATACCAATAATTTATTAATAGAGCCATGTAAGGTTAAATAAGTATTATACAACGTTATAATAAAATATTGATTGCTTCCACTTAATTAATTCTTTATGAACTATTAATTATATAATAATGCCTCTAATTATAGAA